GGAGATTTAGATGAGATCTCAGGAAGAAACTCTTTCCTGAGAGTGTGGTGACACCCTGGGACAGGTTGCCCAGAGAAGCTGTGGCTGCCCCATCCCTGGAGGGGTTCAAGGCCAGGCTGGATGGGGCTTGGAGCAACCTGGTCTGGTGGGAGGTGTCCCTGCCCATGGCAGGGGGTTGGAACTGGATGATCTTTAAGGTCCCTTCCAACCGAAATGATTACAGCGAAGCTACAGCCATAAACATCACGATTTTGAGCCGTATCTACTTAATGCAGCTTAGAGGAAGGTGTGGGTGCTCTCAACCCTTGGGGGCTGCTGTTGGCACCTGCGGGTGCCAGCTCCTTTTCAGCACCTCTGCTCCTCTCTCTTGAGCTGCTGAGTGGTTTCCTGAGCCTCTCGTCCCCTTCTGTGTGGTCGTCTGTCACTTCTTCCTGTCTGCAAAATTGTTTTGTGGGTGTGAAAGGAGTTTTGGCAGGTTTGTGGCTCAACTCTGTTGAGGCTGGAGTAATCTAATTTAGCTAATGGGTTTGAAAAGTTGATGGGGAGGTGCTTGAAGTTCTCTGTAACGTGACTTACAGCAGCCATAGGTTGCAGTATGTCATAAAACTTTTATTTTCAAAACTACTGTGGGCTGAAACAACCCGAATTTTCAGTACTCCCCAACGGCTGCAGAAACACTAGTCCTGCGTTATGGCTGTGCCTTCCCAGTGGTGCCTGTGGGGTTTGGTTTGGGGACTGGTATTTTAATATACATATAAATATATATAGTAGTTGAGAAGAATTGCATCTGCGGCTTGAAATGTATTCCCTCCTCTGGCTGCAGTTGAAAAGTTCGCGTGCTGTTTCATTGCTTCCACTGCTCACTGCTCACTTCATGGAGCACCTCTCCTGTGAAGACAGGCTGAGGGAGCTGGGATTGTTCAGCCTGGAGAAGAGAAGGCTCTGGGGAGACCTTATAGCGGCCTTTCAATATCTGAAGGGTGCCTATAGAAGAGCTGGGGAGGGACTCTTTGCCAGGAGGTGTAATGATAGGACAAGGGGAAATGGTTTTAAATTGGAAGAAAAAAGATTCAGATTAGATCTCAGGAAAAAATTTTTTACTATGAGGGTGCTGAGACACTGGACCAGGTTGCCCAGGGAAGCTGTGGCTGCCCCATCCCTGGAGGGGTTCAAGACCAGGCTGGATGTGGCCTTGAGCAACCTGGTCTAGTGGGAAGTGTCCCTGCCCATGGCAGGGGGGTTGGAACTCGATGATCTTTGAGGTCCCTTCTAACCCAAACCATTCTATGATTTTATGACTCTATCCCCTGGGAACACAAGATGAATTTCTTCCAAGTGTGGTCCTGCTGGGACGAAGAAGGAAGCAGCTCCGTCCGGTGATGCTCCGCGTTCCTCCTGGGATGGACTCACCCTCCTGGGTGCTGTAGCGCTGATTTTTACGTTGGTTGGTAAAGAATTGCCAGGGAAAGGGGAGGAATTTTGGTTTAAAGCCCTGCTTACGTGGGAATGGGCAGGAGCTTATTTTAGGAAGAAGAGAATTTGCAGAGTCAGCGGGGCTGCGGCGAGGGAGACGGCCGCCTCTGTCACCGCTCGATGGCTCCGTGCTCTGGGGGCTCAGCTCGGGTGTAAAGCCCCGGGGAGGTGGGTGCAATTTGGTCAGGAGCAGGTTGTAGCCACATACTTTGAAGCCAACAGAAGTTTCAAGTATAACGGGGTTGAGTTTGGGGATGGACTGTGTCACTGTGACTGTATCACAGGGAGAGGACTCATGAAAGCAAGTTTTTTGGTTTTCCCTTTAAATAAGTAGTGGGAAAAGGCTTTTGGGAGCCTTCTGGGATAGAGCTGCTCTTCCAGGGGATAACTTCTGTACAACCAGGCTCTCGGTTTTGTGGACTGAAAGGTTTCTCTCACCCCCCATTCTCCAAACAGGCTAAATAACTCTTGTAAACTCCAAATGGAAAACCTTGAGGAGGAGGGTCTGAGGGTTTGAGCGACAGAGGAGAAAGGAGAAGGGTGTACTGTATGCTTTGCTCACGTGAAAGTTATTCAATAGGTGTAAAATAATATTGTTGGTTGAAATACGTAACTTCTCAGCAGTTATTTGCTCATTCAGGGAATAATATAAAAGCTTGTCCTGCCAGTGTTTCTAGCCCTGTCGTAAAACAGCAGCTCACTTGTGCTCCATCATTTCCGACTGAGGGATTTTGAAAAACCCTCTTCTATTGAAGGAAGCGTGAGCAGATGTCCCTGGGGCTTTGCACTGGGGGAACTGAGAGTGAGGATGCTTGACATCCAGAGGTTTTTCTTATGTTTTCGTGGTCTTCGTTGGTGATGGGTTTGTTTTTATTTTTTTTTTCCTTATGTTTTTTTTTCTTTTCCCAGCACCGGGCCAGCCTCTGTCTGTGATCTGAGAGGGGGTGGTGGTGGTGCTTCTTCCTCTTCTCACTTCTTTTTCTCCAGCCTGGAGCAACGTGCTGCTCTGTTCTCTTCCTTGTACTGCTCTTCGGTCTGATATTGCGTCCATTCCCCAATACAGTAAACTTTTACCCTGTCCCCGTGCCTCTGATAACTTTCTCATGGTTAAACAGGCAAAGAAATAAGAACATAAATACAAAGAATACAGCTCTTAGGTGGCACTTCTGCTTATGTCGTCTCAAATGCTTTAATTGTGCTGATTCAGTCCTAACACCACTGACAACTCCCTGAAAGGTTGTAGCGAGGTGGGGGTCGGTCTCTTCTCCCAAGGAACAGGCGATGGGACAAGAGGAAATGGCCTCAAGTTGTGCCAGGGGAGGTTCAGATTGGATATTAGGAAAAATTTTTACACTGAAAGGATTATTAGGCGTTGGAATGGGCTGCCCAGGGAGGTGGTTGAGGCACCATCCCTGGAGGTATCTAAAAGACAGGTTGACACAGTGCTTAGAGACATGGTTTAGCAATGAGTTTTTATCAGAGTTAGGTTGATGGTTGGACTAGATGATCTGAAATGTCCCTTCCAACCTAGACAATTCTATGATTCTATGACACTGCGATGGGCAAAGCCCATCAGTGAGGCCTCAGCATTTTCATGTTGAACAAGACTTGTTCGCAGCAGCGGCTGCCAGATTTACCAGTTGGGTTTGAGTTTAGACTTTTTGCCACTGCTTAGACTGGGAGAGTCGTGGTTTGCACCTCTTCATGGCTGGCATTCCAGCTGTCACGTAGTCTTCTCCAGGCTAAACAGACCCAGGTCTCTCAGCCTTCCACAGGATGAATCACAGTATGCTATGGGGTTGGAAGGGACCTCTGGAGATCATCTAGTCCAACCCTTTTCCAGAGCAGGTCCACCCAGAGCAGGTTGCACAGGAACGTGTCCAGATGGGTTTTGAATGTCTCCAGAGATGGAGACTCTACCACCTCTCTGGGCAGCCTGAATAAGAGAGATGCTCCAGTCCTTTATCATCTTTATAACCTCTTCTGGGCTCTCTCCAGTAGTTCCCTGTCCTTCTTGAACTGGGGTAATGCCAGTCTGCCATTTAAAATTCCATGTCACGGTTGTGTTGGGAGGAAGCAGGGCTGGAGTGAAGCCTCTTACAAAGCTCCCTGTGTGCAAAGGCTTGTCCAATACTGCCAGCTCTCCCGATTAAGAGCAAGTGTGAGGAAGCTGGGAACCCAATAAGGGGAGGAGAAGGTGGAGCTGAAGACCAGTGACAGGTAGGAAACCACTCCTTCCAGCAAAGTCTGACCTGTGGTGGCTGAGGGCCTTCTGCAGCCAGCATTTGCCTTTCTTAACTCTCTGCAGCTGTGAGAGCAGCGTGTCCTGGGTCCAAATCTTTCCAGTTAACACTGAGCATCAGTAGCTTGGCCAAAGAAGACTTTGTGGTGGTGGTCGGACCGTCGTGTGGTTGTGGGATCTGTTTGGAGTGTTGACCTGGTGTGGTTCCTCTGGAAAAGCAGCTCCCTGGAAGCCAGCAGCTTTGAAACCAGACTTCTCACTTGTGAGGAACAAGCTGCTTTTGACCTTCAGCCACCCAGTAATTCTCCCTGAGCCAAACATCTCCCCTTGCTGCTTGTGAAATCTGTAAAGTTGTTGAACTGCTTTTTCCACCCAAACAGACACCGTTCCTGCTTTGGCCTTTGTTCCGCAGTGAACTCCCCACTTTCTTTTGAGAACATAATGCAGATGGGAATTCCAGTTTCCAGAAGGATCTGGCTGCAGCCAGGCTGTGTCTGGAGTAACGCTGATCTCATTTGGGTGGAACAAGCTGGTTGTTGCAGAATAATCTATTACCCTGTTCCAAAGCTTCCGTCTTTAAATCCGCGCGGCGGGGATTATTTACTTAGGGATTTACGTGTGTGTTTGGGGGGATCTAGTTTTCTTTCACCCTTCCAGCAGAACAAAATGCAGTCAAATATTTCCGGCAGTTGGGATTGCTCCTGAAGTGTGGCCGGGGACAGCTTAGGACCAAGCCAGGACACTGCGTCTGAGGTGACGTGGGTCCAGCTCTGGGGCTTCCAGGCCACCTCTGAACCAGTTCAGCAGCTTTTTAGTGGTTGCATCAAAACTCTTTTGAGAGTTTCAACTTCAGCCTTTCTGCATCATGCTGTGCTGGAGACTGATACTAACATTTAGAGGTAGTTTTTAGTGGAACTAACATGGAACTGAGAGGTCTTTCAAGCTCAGCGGCTTGTTGGGTCCTCTCTGGTATCTTTGCTACCTGGTATTTACTTTTCTTCCTCCTCACCCTACAGTTCCGCTCCATGGTTTGCTTGAGAATTGGCTGTATCCTGAAACAGGCTTTTCTTTGATGATCAATGACTCTTGCACATAGTCTTGTTAACACAAAAATTGTGGAGCTTGAGTAGAATTTGTCACCTACCCTTGGGTTGTGTTGAGATGAGGTTACGGGCTGGTCTACAAATAGCCATGTGTGGTTTATTGGACACACAGTGCGTGTGATACTAGTTTGTTAACAAATAAATAAATAAGGCTGTTTCTTTATTTTTTTTCCTATTCCTAGTAACGGCCTCCCTGACTGAAGATGTCTAACAATGGGGTTGAAACAGAAGACAAACCACCTGCTCCTCCCATGAGGAATACCAGCACCATGATTGGATCGGGCAACAAAGACGCTGGGACTTTAAACCATGGCTCAAAACCTTTGCCTCCCAACCCAGAAGAAAAGAAAAGAAAAGGATTTTACCGAGCTATTTTACCAGGAGATAAAAGTACAGTATTTTGTCTTTTCTTACAAAACCCCCTGTCTGAATTTGCTCTGAATGACCTCAGTTAAGCATCTGATGCTTAGTAATGGGTTAGGTTTTTGAAAATGTTGTTTGTTTCCTGCACAACTGTCTTGGTCATTTTGGGGGAGCGGGGGGAGGTCTTTTTGCTATAAACAGCAAATAATTTGAATTAAGCATGACTAATAGGCCATCTCCTGCCAGGCCTGGCATATGTTTGCTGATGCTACAAAACCAGGAGGGGTGGCTGACAACACCAGAAGGCTGTGCCACCATACAGCGAGCAGGCCGTCTCCTGCCAGGCATGGCATATGTTTGCTGATGCTACAAAACCGGGAGGGGTGGCTGACAACACCAGAAGGCTGTGCCACCATACAGCGAGACCTGGACAGGCTGGAGGGTTGGGTGGAGAGGAACCTCATGAAATTCAACAAGGGCAAGTGTAGGGTGCTGCACCTGGGGAGGAATAACCCCCTGCACCAGGACAGGTTGGGGCTGACCTGCTGGAGAGCAGCTCTGAGGAGAAAGACCTGGGAGTCCTGGTGGACAACAGGGTGCCCATGAGCCAGCAATGTGCCCTTGTGGCCACTAATGCCAAGGGCATCCTGGGGGGCATCAGGAAGAGTGTGACCAGCAGGTGGAGGGAGGTCATCCTGCCCCTCTGCTCTGCCCTGGGGAGGCCCCAGCTGGAGCACTGGGACCAGTTCTGGGCTCCCCAGTTCCAGAAGGACAGGGAGCTGCTGGAGAGGGTACAGCAGAGGGCTACAGTAAAGGGTGATGAGGGGCCTGGAGCATCTCCCTTAGGAGAAAATACTGAGGGACTTGGGTCTTTTTAGTCTGGAGAAGGTGAGACTGAGGGGGGATCTGATCAACACCTATAAATACTTAAAGGGAGTGTGTCAAGGGGATGGGTCCAGTCTTTTTTCAGCGGTGCCCAGTGACAGGACAAGAGGAAATGGGCACAAACTTGAACATGGGAAGACATGAAGTTCCATCTAAACATGAGGAGGAACTTCTTTCCTTTGAGGGTGGCAGAGCCCTGGCAGAGGCTGCCCAGAGAGGTGGTGGAGTCTCCTTCTCTGGAGACATTCAAACCGCGCCTGCCCACTTTCCTGTGCAACCTGCTCTGGGTGGCCCTGCTTTGGCAGGGGGGTGGAGTAGATGATCTCCAGAGGTCCCTTCCAACCCCATATCATTCCGTGACTCTGTGATGTGTTACTGCATGGCCACTCACTCTGTTCTGGTGTTTGGGTCAGGCATTGTCTACTTGCTGCTGAGAATAATCCGTTACTGCAAATTCTTGCACATTTCTTGTGAACTTGAAGGAATTTTCTCCTGTTATAGGGACTGTAACAGATGGAAATGGAGATAGGAACTGTGAACTGTACATGAAATTCTAATTTCTAAGATCAGGATATTTTAAAAACCTCTCTCTCTCTCATATGAATCTTTTAAAGTGATGTAAGAAAAAAAAATATCCCCATCCCCTAATATGTGCTGGTATCTTTTTATATCTGACCTATTTTTTTTTGGAGTTCTTCTTTCTAATACATCAGCTTTTTGTAGAGTCTGCATTGCAATGGTATCTGGAAACCAGATAACTAAAGTCAAGCCTTGGTATCTTTAGCTTCGGGTGGGAGACTGTTTCCTTAATTTTTGTTAGCAGAAAGACTAATTTGAGTGATACTTCTACTAATTTAAATAGGTTTATTTTCTACAGAATATTGCAGCATTCATTATTATTATTATTATCTGGTACATTTGGCAACTTTGGATTTTTGATTACACAATCCAGATCCTCATGAACTCCATGTTAAAAGTTTGCTGGCTCTTGGTTAGACCTTGCCATTATGAACGTTAATCCTAAAGAGCTGCAGGATTTTTGTGCCCGCTCAAAGAAGACAGGAGGGAAAAGAAAGGAGGGAGTGGAGCTTTTACATCTCAAGGCTCAACAGCTGCAGAGAACAAAGAAATCACCTGAAATTTGTAAGAGGGTAAAAGAAATACAACCTGAAATGCCGGTTTGAAGTAGGTTTTAAAGGAGAGCTGCAAAAGTGAGCGGTTTGGGTGAAATCAGCAGACGGGCTGCCACCCGTTTGGAGATGCCTGCATTTGCTGAAGATTGGCCAACGTGGCAGATGCTTCAAGACATGAGAGATTTTTGTTTAGCCAAGCCCAGCAGAGCCTTCTGTTGCAAAACACCTGCCCGAACGAGAACAGTTTCTTCTGTCCTTTAATTCCTGTCGAGCAAAAAATACCTTTAACACTGTCACCTTTGCTTCAGATTGGTTGATTTTCATCTTATGAAAACTTCTAATCTCATGATGACAACTGAATTCTCAGTTTCTCCTGGTGCTTAAAGGTTCATGGAATTTCCCAAGTGTTCAGACACCCCTCTTTGGTCTGTGCCGGAAATAATTTGGGTGTTATTTCTTGGCTTGACTGAAAGGGGAGTTGGTTTCCATCCAGTTAGAGGAATGTAATTTGGGGCAAATTCATGGCCTTTGGATCTTTACCCAGGGAAGCCAGTGATTTGTTTTTAACCTCTGCTGGGGTTGCAAACAGTCTGTGAGGATCTGAAATGCTCAGCATTTAATTTTGCTAGTAAATATGGACGTAGGCTTTTATGCTGTAGCCTGAGAGCTGCTGAAGTTGATACTGTCAATCCCTTCGGAGAAGTGGCAGCTCTTTGGGTAGGGAACAGTATTGGAGTAGGCACCTTACAAAGGATGGGTGGGAAAGATGCTGAAGAGGTTGTACTTTATGAAAAGGTGCAGCTGAAACACTTGAAGTCCTGCTGTGGAGAAGGTGACAGACCTTTTGAGAGCTTGTGGGGCCAGATCAGAAGGGAGGCCAACAAGGGGAGGACATCTCAGAATCATAGAATGGTTAGAGTTGGAAGGGACCTTGAAGATCATTGAGTTCCAACCCCCCTGCCATGGGCAGGGACACCTCCCACCAGACCAGGTTGCTCAAAGCCCCGTCCGACCTGGTTTTGGAAGATCAGCCATGCCTGATCTTGATGGCATCTTTTGCAGGTTGCTGGGTGAAGAAGGGCAGTTTTAGCTGAAGGTGCTTTGGAAAGTGTCTTTTCCATTGCACTACCTCTGTGCATGAAGAGAGCCATAAAGGACACACGGGGCTTAAATCCTGGGCCCTCATACATGTTTGCACACTTCTGTTGAGCTGTGTCCCCTTGCCAGGCAGCTTTGGAGGTGTCATGCTCTGCTTGCAAAATTTAGGATGTAATTTATAGTCCTGATTTCTTCTGTCTCAGCCTAAACCCCAAAACTGGTCGGTTTACTAATAGATGGATCATATTGATGCAGAGCTTGCATGACTTGCTGCTTTCAACAGGAGTTGTGAGCATCTGAAGTTTTTTGGGCTCAGGGCTCCTCAGTATCCCAGTTGAGGGCATGAATTTGGCTGAACGTGGCACATTTAGCGACTCTGAGCTTTGCTGAGCTCAGCTGCAGCTTCGCAGAGACAGAGGTTTACCCACAAGGTGACATTTTGCAGTACCTGGGAGCCCTTTGCATGGTGACAGAGGGAACACTTCACTTAACCTTCCCAGTAGAGAAGACCTTTCTCATCTCGTCGTGCTTCAGGGTGGGTTCATGGGCTTATTTCTTGGTGGGACCTCGTGTTCCTAATTGCAGCTCAAGTTGCCAGAGCATCGTAAGGAAACTTTATGGGTGGCTCTTGTGACATTGTCAAACTCAGGAGTTTTTGAATGAGAAGGTGGTAAGGTGTTTGTGGGAATAAAGCCCTTGGTGGTAGGTAGGCCTTCTTAAACAGAAACAGGATTTATCTTTTATTTTTTTATTTAAGATTCCTCAAGGCTTTTTGACTCCATTGCAAGGATAATATAATCTCTGTAGAGGGGGATTAAGTGTTTAGCAAAGGGAGTGCCCATCTGTAATTCTTTTTGTCTTGTGCTTCCTGCTATGCCATAAATATCTGCTACAAAACCCAATTATATTATTAATCATTTAATATGTTTAGGCTTTTAGATCTGTCAGATTTTTGGATCGAAAGCTTCTGAAGTTCATTGTCCTCTGAGACTGCTGGAGGAAAACCTCTGAATTCATGTGCCTTCACATGATGATGAATTCAGTCCGGGTGCTATAAAACCCTGAGTGTGGCAGGAAGGCAGTTTAAAAAAGAGTGTACAGAGCAATTATGGTTTCACCCCCTGTAACATTATTACCAAGACAAAGTGGTTTTACCTTGAGTTTGTGGTAGTCGACCCAAACAACTGTTGAGAGTGAGGGAAAGTGCAAAGGGTTGAGATGCTGTAGGAAGTGGTTGCAGGAAAATAAGATAATTGGGTTAATATTAATTGCTCTGGGTATAGGAAAACAAAATAAGCCATAAAGGCAGAAAAATCTCTTGCTGTTTCTATATTGCTGTGTAGCCCTACTGAAACTCTCTACCTCTGTTGAGCATGAACAGAGGGATGGAGCATTGATGTGACGGAGGCTGTGGTATTATTTAATCAATCCTTCCAGAACTGTCTTTGTGTTGAGCATGAACAGAGGGATGGAGCGTTGATGTGACAGAGACTGGTGTTATTTAATCAATCCTTCCAGAACTGTCTTTCCTGCTCTGTGTAGCTGAGGTTCATTTGGGACATCATCTCCTGCTTGGATAAGTCAGCAGTGATCTTGGTTTGCTGGTTGAAAGGATACTGAAACAACTGGTCGCAGAGAAGTTTGTTGGGATTTGGGTGTGTGGTGGGGCTGTCTGAATGTAGAAACAAAAAAAAAACCCAACACTTAAGTGTATTGACTTCTGGATAGCAACTTAATCATAGAATGGTTAGAGTTGGAAGGGACCTTGAAGATCATCAAGTTCCAACCCCCCTGCCCTGGGCAGGGACACCTTCCACCAGACCAGGTTGCTCCAAGCCCCATCCAGCCTGGCCTTGAACCCCTCCAGGGATGGGACAGCCACAGCTTCTCTGGGCAACCTGGGCCAGTGCCTCACCACCCACCCAGTAAACAAATTCTTCCTAATATCTTGACTAAATTACCCCTCTTTCAATTTAAAACCATTACCCCTCGTCCTATCACTGCATTTCCTCATAAAGAGTCCCTCCTCATCTTTCCTGTAAGCTCTTCAGGTATTGGAAGGCTGCTATAAGGTCTTCTTCAGGACTGGAAGGCTGCTATAAGGCCTCCCTGGAGCCTTCTCTTCTCCAGGCTGAACAACCCTAACTCTCTCAGCCTGTCCTCACAGCAGAGGGACTCAAGCCCTCTGACCATTTTCATGGTGCTCCTCTGGTCCTGCTCCGATCATTTTCATGGTGCTCCTCTGGTCCTGCTCCAACATGTCCATGTCCTTCCTGTGCTGAGGACTCCAAAGCTGGACGCAGTGCTCCAGGTGGGGTCTCTCCAGAGCAGAGCAGAGGGGTAAATATGGCCATAGGCATATTCAGATAATGTCCTTAGGCTTTTTTAAGGGTAGGCTCAAATCTACTGTGGCAGTTGTCCTGGACCATGTTGTGGGTTTGCGCTCCTGGCTTAGTGGGGCTAATACAGGTGTCCTCTTCTTCCTCACCTGAGTGATGGGCTTCTAGGCCGAGCTGACACCTTGCTCCTTGGTTTGGAGGAATGGCCTGATCCTGTAGATAGAATATGGTGCTTCTGGTGGCTCCCTCTGCCTCTCTTGTCCTCTTGCCTTCCATCCACCCCTAACGCACCCAGCTTTTTCTGTCTACCTGCTGGATGCAGCTGCTTGTTTCTCCATTGGCAAGGTCCCGGTGCTGCAGATGCTCACCATCTGCTCACCAGCAGCTGCTTCTCTCTCCCCCCAGCTCCCCCCTCCACCACAGCTCCTCCAGCATCCCTGCTTTCTCTCCTCCTTCCCCTTGGCAACTCCATCGCTCTTCTGCGATTCAGCTTCCCCCGGCCCCTTTGTTCGAAAGAGGGAATCGAAAACAATCTGTTCCAGCTTCGTGTCCCAAATGGAGCATCTGATCCTTTCTTTTTTTTCCCCCTCTAAAATTAATCTGCGCAACAATAATGACACAGAGAACGGTGCCAGAGCTGGCAAAGAAGGAGCCATTATTTGGTCCTTTGGGACAAACCCTGACCATCTCAACACAACCAACCACCAGCAGCGTCTTAAATAATCGCAGTGTCGAGCGTCGCAGGTTTCTGAAATACCTGGGCTTTGGCATTCGTGCTGCCAAAAAATGCGCTGGGGAATGTCAGCCACGAAGCAAATTCTGTTTGGCTTCGGATAGAAAAAGGTGGCAGCTGGGAAACACAAGTGGCTTCGTCACCTTCTCCTGGCTCTGTTTGTTCTATAGCTGCAAGCAGCAGCAAAGCTGAGTGGAACGTGGTTAAACTGATCTCAATTTCTTGAATATTAAATATTAAGAAGAAGGCGGAGACCTTAATATGTCATGAATATGGGTGAACTTAATCCAAGGCGTAACGATCGTCTCGTTTGAAGACTTGACTTGAAAATTTGTGGAGTGCGTCTGCTTTGATTTATTTCCTTTCCTGTTTCTTCACGACTTCTGCTCCTCACCTGCCAGATTCTGCCCTCTTGCTCCGTGTCTTCAAAGCTTCATTTCCTTTCCTCCACGGCTTCTGCTCCTCACCTGCCAGACTCTGCCCTCTTGCTCCGTGTCTTCAAAGCTTGTTATTAAAACCACATTTAGTTCATTTTGTGAGCCGAAGGATATAAATGGTTTTGCTCATACAAGATTTTGTAGCAGAAGCACATGTGTTATATTTGGTTTTCTTCATAAACTCTGCTTTGAGCATACTTCCTTCACCCTACAATTTATAAGCAATACTTGCAGTTAATTTTGTCCCTGTCTTAATATGAGAGGTGAGGGTATGTTTAGCGGCGTATAATACATTTTTTTTTTTAAGTTCCCATTTTTTTTTAAAGTTCCTTAAAGCAACAAATAAAAAAATGTGTTCAGAATTGCATGGCTCCCACTTCACTGCCGTTGTAGTGCTTTTGACTCTGACCTGTGCAAGTTTGAGGGAATATTTCAGGTAAATAGCTCTTGTGCTATTGAGCCGAGCCCTACTGGTTGATACTTGACATTCCCAAATTATCAGTTCCCTTGTCTTGCCCTTGTCCTGTGTTACAAGACTTTGATTTTTGTTGTCTGCTCACTGGAGTTGCTCTTAAGTGAGATAACAAAGTTTTTAAATTTGCTGTTTTGTCTGCCCCGGGTCGAAATCCTATAATGAGCAAAAGGGGGGTATGGTTGGGTAAGAAAATCATAGAGTCATAGAATCATCTAGGTTGGAAAAGACCCTTGGGATCATCGAGTCCAACCATCTAAATCGGAAACTATTGGGGAGATTTGAATTCTTGATGGATTTACGGATTAATTTTTGTTGTCCTTGTCTCTTCCAGCCAATAAAAAGAAAGAGAAGGAGCGGCCGGAGATCTCCCTCCCTTCAGACTTTGAGCACACAATCCATGTGGGGTTTGATGCAGTCACAGGAGAATTCACAGTAAGTGAATATGGAGGAGAAGAGAAGTGTGTGGTTTGGCTTATTGCTGGGAGGAGCCAGGACCCATTAATCTTTCATATAGTAATGCTGGAAAGGCTATTACCATCATCTGGTTTGATCTCTTTGGAAACACATCTGCAGAGGTTACCCACTAATTCCTGCTGAGAGACTGTTTGTCAAACTTGGCACGTCCCAAGGAGCCCAGGCTGCCAGCAAACTTTTCCTTTCCTGTTTTTCAACTCATGTGGACAGCAAAACATGGTATATCTGCCCTTCCTTTCCCTCCCCTTCTCTTCTAGAGCTGGGTGAGGTCTCCAGCATAGTCTGTGTCTGCCAAATGGAGCTCTGAGAGTTCCCCTTCAGGAGACGCACAACTGTGCATAACTATTTATGACAGAATGTGTATGTGCTGCCCGAAGGCGAGATGTCAGAGGCTTTTATGGAGGTTTTTTTATTGACGTGCAAAATACGATGAAGACAGAGTTGTATTTCATCATAGTATTCTTCTTAATTTGATTACGAGTTAGTACTTAACAGCAGCAGAAGGTGTTGATGTTTTTACCTGTCTTTAACATGCTTCTTTTCAGGGACTTTGCTCTCCTAACCTGAATCCTGTGGTTTCCACAACAAATCCAGTTGTGTTTTGCATGTCAGCCTCTAGACTTGCCCAAGTTAATCTACACGTACCCGAGGGGCATTACCTACGTGGTGTATCCAGGCATTTTTTTAAACAGGGAGGGTAAATTTATTGATGAAGGATCCCAGTCCTTTGCTACTTCATCTGTAAAAACTGTTCCTGGTGGTGGGAGGCACAGGTCAGGTTGTACTTCAGGTGTCTTTATGTTCTGGCTGAAGTGATGTCCCTGTAATGAAATGCGGAGCTTCATACATGAGGGTAACATCTCTGCTTTTCCAGCTCCGGTTACAAGAGTCACCAAACCACTATTACCAAAGAGCTCATAGTGCTACGAGAAGACCCAAGTTGCATGGTCATTGCACTAGATGCTATATGGTGTATGTTATCTTCTATGGTCTTTCTTGGATATATGTAAATACCATAGAATGGTTAGAGTTGGAAGGGACCATATATATGTAAATACCATAGAATCATAGAATGGTTAGAGTTGGAAGGGACCTTAAAGACCATCGAGTTCCAACCCCCTGCCCTGGGCAGGGACACCTCCCACCAGACCAGGTTGCTCAAAGCCCCATCCAGCCTGGTCTTCAACCCCTCCAGTGATGGGGCAGCCACAGCTTCTCTGGGCAACCTGTTCCAGTGTCTCACCACCCTCACAGTAAAGAACCACTACCCCTCATCCTATGGCTCCACTCCCTGATCAAGAGTCCCTCTCCATCCCTCCTGTAGGCCCCTTTAGGGACTGGAAGGGGATCTAAGGTCTCCCCGGAGCCTTCTCTTCTCCAGGTTGAACACCCCCAACTCTCTCAGCCTGTCTTCATAGGAGAGGGACTCCAGCCCTTGCATCATCTTCATGCCCTCCTCTGGCCCCACTCCAACAGGTCCATGCCCTTCCTGTGTTGAGGACTCCAGAATTGGACACAGTACTCCTGGTGGATTCTCCTCAGAGCAGAGGGGGAGAATCACCTCCCTGGACCTGCTGGCCACACATCTTTCAATGCAGCCCAGGATGTGGTTGGCTGGGTTGCCAGCACACACTGACGACTCATGTTGAGCTTCTCATCCACCAACACCCTCAAGTCCTTCTCCTCACGGCTGCTCTCCAGCCATTTTCCACCCAACCTGTATTGGTGCCTGGGATTGCCACCACCCAGGTGCAGGATGCATCTCTCCTCTTTCCTCCCAGTTTCCCCCACAGCACCGAGTAACCCCAGAAACTGTGTGGCAGGACTGTTGCAGCGGTCGTGTGCCCTGTCACCCTCGTTAGGCTGACCGTGAGCTAACGAGGTCCATCTCCCCACAGGGAATGCCGGAGCAATGGGCGCGTTTACTGCAGACTTCCAACATCACCAAGTCGGAGCAGAAGAAGAACCCCCAGGCAGTGCTGGACGTGTTGGAGTTTTACAACTCCAAGAAGATCTCCAACAGCCAGAAGTACATGAGTTTCACAGGTATGCGGTGATCATCATCTACAGCTGCTTTGTCCAACTTTCCATTAGTCATTAAATGTGGGGTTTCTTTCTTTTAATCAACAAATCGATCTATCTTTTCAAGGAAAACCTGAATGAGATTCTCTGGCTGCTCAAGCACCCCTCTTCCTTTAAAGTGCTCTTCTGTTAATCCTGATGCAGAGCTGCAAAAGAGGAGTTCAGTCAACTGGCTAAATCCCAAAACACATAGGATTTCTGAAGCTTACAGCATCTGAGAGGCAGATCCCAGAGTGTTGGTGTTGCTTTCCCAGGGATGGAAATTCAGTATCAATGTCCATTGTGGCAGTGGATGTTGCTTTGTGCACGCTTGGGGTGAGGGTCTGTCTCCTCCCCTGTGCCATGATTGAGGAATGCAACTCAGCTGCCAGGTGCTTGGTAACTGCTGGCTGAATTCCTCTAAAAATCAAAGCCAAGGTTTTGTGCCTTGTGCCAAGGTTTTGTGCCTCCTTTGTATGGATTACCTGCCCACTAGAGGACTTCTGCAACCACCACTCCTTTTTCTCTTTCAACTCTAACTCCTTCTCTTTCTAAATATTAATCATAGAATCACAGAAGGGTTTGGGTTGGAAGGAACCTTTAAAGGTCATCTAGTGCCAACCTCCCCTGAAATAATCAGGGACATCTTCAGCTAGATCTGGTTGCTCAGGACCCTGTCCAACCTGGCCTGGAATGTTTCCAGGCCAACCTCCCCTGAAATAATCAGGGACATCTTCAGCTAGATCTGGTTGCTCAGGACCCTGTCCAACCTGGCCTGGAATGTTTCCAGGGATGGGGCATCCACCACCTCTCTGGGCAACCTGGGCCAGTGTCTCACCACCCTCAGTGTAAAAAAATCTTTTCTTTATATATAATCTAAATCTTCCCTCTTCTACTTTATAGCCGTTTCCCCTTGTCTTATAGCAACAGACCCTGCTAAAAAGTTTATCCCCAGCTTTTCTCTAGCTCCTTTAGGGATTGGAAAGGGCTCTAAGGTCTCCCTGGAGCCTTTTCTTCTCCAGGTTGAACCCTCCCAACTCTCTCAGCCTGTCCTCACAGCAGAGGGGCTCCAGCTCTCCCAGCATCTCCATGACCTCCTCTGGCCCTTCTTCAACAGGTCCATGTCTCTCCTGTGCTGAGGGCTCCTGCTTTTTTTTTTTTTTTTTTTTTTTTTAAGAGGAAAGAACCATGTGACCAGAGCATTTATTAATTAGGAAGGCTTCAGGTAGGGATAAAAGTATAAATCTTCCCCATATGTGTCTGGATAGACAAGCAAGTAGCCCACCGTTTGACTTGTGGGATCCTCTGTTGCTATTCGGGGAGTTTAAGTGGCTGAGACTGAACATCTTGCAGGTCTTGGCCTGGCTGCAGTCACCTCTAGTGGTGGTTCAGCCCATTGAATATTGAAAATATTGAAAATATATTGTGTATGTAGATGGAGGACAGTATTCATTCAGGTGTTGCACTGGGAAATTCCACCCTCCTGCAGCAGGAATTTGGAGGCTCCTGCATTGATCTGCAGGATTCCCCTATCTGCTGGGTGTCAGCTTGTTCCAAGGAGCTGAAGGTAATGCCTAGGTTTGGGAGCAACCTTTTCTGCTCCTTCTGAAGGGACCATGTGTCCTGCACTCACAACTCATTTATAACGGCGTTTAATATCTGTCTCTTTCAGATAAATCAGCGGAGGATTATAATTCATCAAACACATTGGTAAGCCTTGTATTCACATTCTGTCTCCAATCTGGGGGTTTAAAACCTTGCATAAAGAGGTTAACAACATAAACTTTTAGTTTGCTTAGTGTTCATCTAAACTTTATTTATGTTTGTATAGTGAATATATGTTTATAAAAACAGGCATGCTCCTTTCACTTTTTTATTCAACCTGGGGAGAATCAAGCAGACAGAAGAAGCTTTTATTAGTGAATAGAAACTAGTGAATTAATGAGTAGAAATAGTTCTGGTTTTATAGAAGCCAATCTGTTCCTATACCTAGAAATTGGTTAACGGCTCTACTTACAGGTTTCATAAATCTCTGTAAACATCAGTGATATAACAAAGTTTAATTACTAACCTGCAAGTTCTGATTCACCAAAACTAATGTTGTTTGATTGTTGATTGACCAAACTGATCTCCATCAGAAAAGGAAAGAAAAGGATTTCCTTCTCTTTGCTTGACCTTTACTCTGTCCTTACCAGGGCAGGCACCTCTCCTGTTTGCTTTCTTAGTAGATATGGTGTGTTTTTCTACCTACCTGGGAGACATAAGAAACAAAACGTTAAATTTAAGATGATTCATAAAACCCCATAATTCCCTCATCTCCTGTTTTCTCACTGTCCTGCCATTATCTAGATTTGGTGGCTTCTGCTCCCTTCTGAAGGCAGTGTATTCAGATCTAACCATTTAGGACTCTGTGAATAGAAAAGGAGAACGTTTTTGCCACTGTTCATTATTACAAGTTGTTGTAGGTCAGTCCTCAGGAGCTTAGAATATCTGAGCTGTTGGATTTTAAAGTTAATCCTGGAAAAAACCCACTAGTTACCAGTCTACTGAGATAGCATCTTCCAAAAACATCAGGCTGAGTAACCTTTATTTTTGGGGATATTCAGGAAATTCCCAGTGTTTTTTATTGATGCTTTCAACAGGCTAAGCTTTGTGTTATGCCACGGGCACTTGAGCAATTACATATCAGGATGCTGGTGGCTTCAAATATTTTAGATTCGATGAAATACTACATTGTTTCACCCCTCTTTCAGAGAGAACTTTATTTTAACACTGTTTCCCCCCGCCACTCTTAGGCAATTGATTATAAACAACCTGGAAGCAGTAGCACAAGCAGAACTGGTCCAGTGGGTTGAGGAGCTCGCCAAGTCTATTTTGAAATGTTTGCAGTGTAGAGGAAGCCATGAACTTCAAATCCAGTTTTGAATTTAAAGGGTTAAAAGTGGCTTTGAGTTCTAATCACAGCATTGCAAAAAATTCCAGATAACTTTTTTAACCATTTAAAAAAAATAATAAAAAAATCATTGCTCCTGTTTTTCATAAAATTTTCCTTTAGAAAGCAATTTTCAAAGGGATTTGAAAAGATTTCACCAGATTCTACTTCTAAAATCTCTCATTAGTTAGTTCTCAGTCACAATACCAAAGCCAGTGTTAATTTGACCTCCCAACTTCTAAAGAAAACATGAACATTTTGATGCAAATTAAAACATTTAAAGACTGAAATCTTCAATCTGCATGATCAGGGTTTAAAGCACAGAGTGAAAAAGAGAGGCAACATAAATAGGGATAGATATGTCCAAACCCAGACTTTGTCCCCAGAGTTGCTGGGTCCACCGTGTGGGTGTTGGGAATGCAGTGGGAGAGCCCAGGTGAGTCTCAAGTCCTTGGGAAGAGGATTGTCATCAGACAGGTGACAAGCTCTGTTGTGATAGCTGCATCAGGCACTGCTGGGTTGTCCTTCCATTTCCCATGAAGGTTCAGGATCTTTGGCGTTTTAATTTGTCAGATGTTGTAACATCCTGTTCTGGTTATTATTTTTTCATAGAATCATAGAACAGTTTGGGTTGGAAGGGACCTTAAAGATAATCTGAGACACCTCCCACCAGACCAAGTTGCTCAAAGCCCCATCCAGCCTGGCCTTGAACCCCTCCAGGGATGGGGCAGCCACAGCTTCTCTGGGGAACCTGTTCCAGTGTCTCACCACCCTCACAGGAAGGAAATTCTTCCTAAGATCTAATCTAAATTTCCCCTCTTCCAGTTTAAAACCACGTCCCCTCAACTTATCACTGCAATCCCTGATCAAGAGTCCCTGCTCATCTCTCCTGGAGCCCCTTGAGGGACTGGAAGGGGCTCTAAGGTCTACCCGGAGCCTTCTCCAGGCTGAACCCCCTCAACTCTCTCAGCCTGTCCTCCCAGCAGAGGGGCTCCAGCCCTCCCAGCATCTCCGTGGTGGCCTCCTCTGGCCCCACTCCAACAGGTCCATGTCCTTCTGATGTTGGTGGCCCTAGAGCTGGAGGCAGCACTGGGTGGGGGGTGTCTCCCCAGAGCAGAGCAGAGGGGCAGAATCCCCCCCCTGGCCCTGCTGGCCACGCTTCTTTTGATGCAGCCCAGGATGTGGGGGGCTTTCTGAGCTGCACTTGCTTCAACGCAGCCTCCGTTAGGACCTTAACCCAACGTTTGATGTTTTATTTATAATAACTGATTGGGTTTTTTTTTATTTTTGCCATTTATGTAACCCCGCGCAGAACGTGAAGGCTGTCTCCGAGACTCCCGCAGTGCCCTCAGTGTCCGAAGACGAAGATGATGAAGATGATGCAGCTCCACCCCCTGTGATAGCTCCGCGGCCTGAACACACAAAATCCGTGAGCAGAAATACTTCCTTCAGTCCCCGGCACGGTTGGGTCTTGGCTGGCTCCCCCTCCGTGCTGCGTGGTGTGGTGCTGAGCCCTTCTTGGGAGCAGGAGGGATGAGGTGGGAGCCATTCCTGCTGGCAGAACACCATCCCATTGTCACCTGCCTGGGTGGGGGGAAGGACAAGAGAGTCCTTGCTTAGTGACGTTGGCTTGTTAACAAAGGGAATACATCCCTGACAACAGCAAGAACAATAACAAGATCAATAGAAGTGTTTAAGGCTTCATCTGATTTGTATTATTAATATGTAGGGGTTTTTTTTCTCAACAAAATTAGATATACACCCGCTCTGTGATAGATCCCCTTCCTCCTCCTACCAGAGACGTGGCGACCTCTCCTATTTCTTCTCCCACGGAAAACAACGCAGCGGGGCCTGACATGCTGGTCAGGAACGCGGAGAAACAAAAGAAAAAGCCAAAAATGTCAGACGAAGAGATCTTGGAAAAATTAAGTATGTCCTTTTCTTTTTTTTTTTCCTTTTTTTTTTTTTTTTAATTTAAATTCCAGATCCTGCTGTGTTGATTTCTCCAAATCTTAATAAGCTGAAATGTTTTGACATTCCCGTTTTGAGAACTGAAGGCATTGCATTGTGACTGTGTGCCAAAATTGGGGGCAGATGGAAGGCGGGGAGCTTAAATGTAAGCTGAGCACCTGTGATGCCAACTGAAGCCCCTGGGGAGCTACAGATCCTCAGGCTCTGCAAAATAAGCCCTGAATAAGTAACATCTACTTAAGTGTGAGGGCTGAGATTGTTCCACATCTTGATAGTCTGTAGCTCTGGAGCACGGGTGGTGGTGTTGAAATGTTAAATGTAAGGTGAGCAGAGCTTCCTACCGTGAAAATTAATGCATTCCCCAATTCACCTTCTACAATGCCATGATGTAAAGTGACTTGGTTAAGTGCCCGATGTTGTGTGGGCACCCAAATTAGTAGTTATTTCTGAGAAACTTGTCTCTCTGTTGTGTCCTTGTGTCTTTAACTCTCCCTACCTTCAGTTCATGGGTCTTCTAAAGTGCTGCTCTGCTGCTTGGTATTTTTGGATTAAGCTGTGACAAACCCAACAGCTGAACCAGCTCCTCTGTGTGACTCATTGCTAAAATGTTATCATAGAATGGTTTGGGTTGGAAGGGACCTTAAAGATCATCTAGTCCAGCCCCCCTGCCATGGGCAGGGACACCTCCCACCAGGCCAGGTTGCTCAAAGCCCCATCCAGCCTGCCCTTGAAGCCCTCCAGGGATGGGGCAGCCACAGCTTCTCTGGGCAACCTGTTCCAGTGTCTCACCACCCTCACAGCAAAGAGTTTCTTCCTGAGATCTCATCTAAATCTCCCCTCTTTCAGTTTAAAACCCTTCCACCTCATCCTATCACTCCACTCCTTGATCAAGAGTCCCTCCCCATGTCTCCTGGAGCTCCTTTAGGGACTGGAAGGAGCTCTAAGGTCTTTCTGGAGCCTTCTCTTCTCCAGGCTGAACCCCCCCAACTCTCTCAGCCTTCCTCACAGCAGAGGGGCTCCAGCCCTCAGGGCATCTCTGTGGCCTCCTCTGGCCCCGCTCCAACAGGTCCATGTCCTTCCTGTGCTCACAACTCCAAAGCTGAACACATACTCCAGGTGGGGTCTCCCCAGAGCAGAGCAGAGGGGTAGGATCACCTCCCTCAGCCTGCTGGCCACGCTGCTTCTGAAGCTTCTTTTGTCCTGTCGCTGCCTTGGGGAAGCCTTTGCCTGTCTCACAGTCTGTACTCCTAACCCGTGTTAGTCTTTGAGGAAAAGTTTATGACCATTAGTTTGGAAATGCTTGTCCTCAGGGCACAGTGGGGTTTATATCATCAGATTTCTCTTCTTCCCCTCCTCTCCAAACACGGACCATATTCCCTTTCTTCACCTCTCTCTGCCCTAAACCCGGTAGGTTTGGCCACTCTCCAGCAGCATCTGAAAATAGCCTGCTCTTACTCTGCTGGCCACTGGATTTCTTGGCCTAATGACCATGGAGAGTTTCTTTGCCAATGTACATCTGTTTAGGCTCAGCCCTAGACGCCTGTGAAAGCAGCACCCTACGTTGGCAGCTTGAGTGATTTGCAAATGCCAGCTCAGATGCAGCTCTGCATCCCTCCATCCAATGAACCCCTTTGGTGCTGCTGGAGAGGAGACTCGCTCCTCTGGGAGCTCTGGGAATTTTTTTGCCCTGATTTCTTCAGTCTAAAAAGGGTGTGATTCCCAGTGACAGGACGAGGGACAGCAGGCACAAGCTGGAACATATGGGAAGTTCCACTCAAATATGAGGAAGAACTTCTTTCTGGTGAGGATGCCAGAGTTCTGGGCTCTCCAGTTCCAGAAGGACAGGGAACTGCTGGAGAGGGTACAGCAGAGGCTACAAAGATGGTGAGGGGCCTGGAGCATCTCTCTGATGAGGAGAGGCTGGGGGACTTGGGTCTTTTTAGTCTGGAGAAGAGAAGGCTGAGGGGGGATCTGATCAACACCTATAAATACTTAAAGGGTGGGTGTCAAGAGGATGGGGCCAGTCTTTTTTCAGTGGTGCCCAGGGACAGGACAAGAGGAAATGGGCACAAACAGGAACATAAGAAGTTCCATCTATACATGAGGAGGAACTTCTTTCCTTTGAGGGTGGCAGAGCCCTGAAGAGGCTGCCCAGGGAGGGTGTGGAGTCCCCTTCTCTGGAGACATTCAGAACCCTCTGGGATTCAGTCCTGAGTGACGTGCTACAGGCAATCCTGCAGGGATTTGGGAGTTGGACTAAATGATCTCTAGAAGATCCCTTCCAACTCCAACAAGGAGTTATGAATATTAATTGATGTTTGCAGGACGCGTAGCATTTCAGTGATGCTCCTTTTGTCAGCTGCTCCAGTTTATCCCTTGGCAACCCTCCACGCAAGCATCAGAACTCCAGCCCTTGTGCTGAGAGCTCCTTCCCCTTGTACAGAAAACATCTACCTTGGGCCTGAGCAGCCTGTCACCACCCCGTCTTGCAGAACACCAGGCAAAGTGCTTTCCCCTCCGAGGGATGCAGTAATACACGTTCTTCTGGCTGAGCAGCCACGTTAAGGGAGAAATGAGCTGAGATTGCTTTGGGTTGCTCTCCAAAACCAGAGAAAGGCTGCTGTCCCGTGGTAACTGCTGCTGAATCCTGCCCTGACTCTTGGGTTCCTGGAAGAGCAGCTGAGCAGTCATAGAATAGAATCACAGAACGGTTCGGGTTGGAAGGGACCTTAAAAATCATAGAGTTCCAACCCCCCTGCAGTGGGCAGGGACACAATGCCCAGGCCAGGGCGGGTTTGACGCTGAAGGTTCTCTCCAACTTCCCTCCTGAGTCTTGCGACCCAGTCGTTGGGTCAGTAGTGGCTATGATCGTGCCAGTACAGAAACATCATACTTTTTTTCTCCCAGAAGTTGTTGTGATGGAAGGAAATCTTTTGGTTCAATTTGCAACAGACCGTTGGCTCTAAAGTGATATGGACACTCCATCCCTGGAGGGGTTCAAGGCCAGGTTGGATGGAGCTTTGAGCAACCTGGTCTGGTGGGAGGTGTCCCTGCCCGTGGCAGGGGGGTTGGAACTGGGTGATCTTTGAGGTCCCTTCCAACTCAAACCATTCTATGAATGAGGCCTGGGCCTCCAAATCCAGAGGACATTGCAGTGCAGGGACATCTTAGATCATCCAGTATGGTGAAGCTGGGGGTGACTTTAAGTTGCAGGTTTCCAGCAAATAATACAATTTACACGTGTGAGGGCTGCTAATGAAGATCAAATGTGCTTAACGTCTCTGTTCCACCATTTCTGAAGGGAAATAAATACCTGTGAGAGGGGAATGTCACATGGTAGGTGCCTAAATATGTGAGGACTTTTCTTGGTGTTCCTTTGCCTCTGGCTTTCTGACAAGTGGTTCATGAGGCTCAGCAGAACCTGCTCCGGCCGTGGGGCTGCTCTTAAAGTAAAGCTGGTTCTTTTAGCTGTATGAAGAAGTACTTATAAAATTCTCTTTTCTTTCTTTTTGTTTTTTGTTTGCTCTAAAGTGATGTGGATGCTCCATCCCTGGAGGGGTTCAAGGCCAGGCTGGATGGGGCTTTGAGCAACCTGGTCTGGTGGGAGGTGTCCCTGCCCATGGCAGGGGGTTGGAACTCAATGATCTTTAAGGTCCCTTCCAACTCTAACCATTCTGTGATTCTATGAAGGAGGCCCGGGCCTCCAAATTCAGAGGACATTGCAGTGCAGGGACATCTTAGATCATCCAGTATGGTGAAGCTGGGGGTGACTTTGAGTTGCAGGTTTCCAGCAAATAATACAATTTACACGTGTGAGGGCTGCTAGTGAAGATCAAATGTGCTTAATGTCTCTGTTCCACCATTTCTGAAGGGAAATAAATACCTGTGAGAGGGGAATGTCACAGCTGGTAGGTGCCTAAATATGTGAGGACTTTTCTTGGTGTTCCTTTGCCTCTGGCTTTCTGACAAGAAGTTCATGAGGCTCAGCAGAACCTGCTCCGGCCGTGATGCTGCTCTTAAAGTAAAGCTGGTTCTTTTAGCTGTATGAAAAAGTACTTTTAAAATTCTCTTTTCTTTCTTTTTGTTTTTTTTAGGAAGTATTGTGAGTGTGGGCGATCCGAAAAAGAAATACACATGTTTTGAGAAGATTGGACAAGGGTTAGTATGTGCTCCTTCTCCGTCCTATCCCTTTCCTTATGCAAAGAAGGAAGCAGTGAAACCAGGCTAAGTCACTTTGCTGGAAAAGCTGTTGGTGATGCTTCAGAGAGTTTATTTTGTTTGGTTGTTATTTTGTTTTCTTTTTCTTTTGTATTTTTTTGGTGGGGTGGGGATGGGTTGGTTGTTTTGGTGGGTTAACCCCTGCTCTTATCCCCTTCCTGGCAAAGCCTTGAGTCACAGGGACTGGGTTGTTGGGGTTTTTTTGTGTGTGAATGTGTTTTAATGTAAGAAAATACATCATTAGATGATCAGGTTGTTAAATACAGCTGCAAGCGGGGAAGGAACTGCTTATTTCTAGCATGCAAGACAGTCTTAAAATTACAGATTTGCTTTCTGAATTAACTCTCCTCGAAATGGCTGTTGTGCCCCTCTTAGCTGGGAAGGAACTGCTTATTTCCAGCATGCAAGACAGTCTTAAAATCACAGATTTGCTTTCTGAATTAGCACTCCTCGAAATAGCTGTTGTGCCCCTCTTAGGAGGATAGGGGGGAAATTGGGTTTGGGGGGAGGCAAATCCGTGCAATTCACTGGGAGATCTGCCTTCAGCTCCGTGTGCTGAGGCTCAGACTCCCGTTTCCCTCACTCCAAATGCCACTTTTGTTTACTTTGGCTGATCCTACCTGCTCTGTCATCAACTCATGGTCCTACAAGCTGTGCTAAAGTTGCTGGTTTCTCAGCGAGGGTTTGAATGACCACAGTATCCCTTATTAGGAACTATTTCCCCATAAAACTCTCTGGCTTCTGCTCCAACAGCAGCCTTGCCTCAGAAATATTTCAGATTATATTTACCACTGGAATTATTGCATGAAAAGGAACGGGACTGAGAGCACTTCAAAGAGACAAGTGGGAAGAGGCATGTGTTTAGCTCTCAATCTTGCTACGAGACACCAATAAGTGGGTTTTTTTCTTTCTCCTTTTCTCTGTTTTGTGTAGAGCCTCAGGTACGGTTTACACGGCAATAGATGTAGCTACAGGACAGGAGGTAAGTGCTACCAGAATTCCACAGCAGTGGATTTTTGGATTGTGTGCTAAAAGTTCAGGGAATGGGACTGAGAGCACTTCAAAGACACAAGTGGGAAGGGGCATGTGTTTAGCTCTCAGTCTTGCTACAAGACACCAATAAGTGGTTTTTTGTTGGTTTTTTTTTCCTTTTCTCTGTTTTGTGTAGAGCCTCAGGTACGGTTTACACGGCAATAGATGTAGCTACAGGACAGGAGGTAAGTGCTACCAGAATTCCACAGCAGTGGATTTTTGGATTGTGTGCTAAAAGTTCAAGTTGATGCTACAAAATAAAGATGATTTTTCAAGGGTTCAAGACATCTCATTCCATTCATTTAGACACTGTCTGGGCTTCTAGCCCTTCCCCCTTCTTCACTGTGATTTTTTTTTTTAATGAGCTATTTATTTCCTTACTAACGAGGCGTGGTCTGAGCAGAGAAGCGGAAAAAAAATTATTTCCAAGGTTTTGATTCCTCAATCATTTCAAATTTGTGAAGAATCTTTCTGTGGCCACAAAGGCTAGGAGCAAATGTTCATGACTGGGTAGTTCCTCAGTAGAAGTTTCTCTCTTCATCCCCAAGTTCCCCCCACCAGTCCCCATTTAAACTCTTTTATACGCCCTCTGCTCCTTTATTACCTTCTACCTTCCTACACTTACACCAGTTGAATTCCAGAGGAATAGTTCATTTCCCACCCTTTGCCCACTTGCTTTCTGCCCTGGAATTAAGAGATGAGGAATGTCTGTCTGTCTTATTTTTTTTTCCCCTCCTGAATATTGAAAAGTGCCCTGCGTATTTCATACATAATAAACTAGTAGTGATGGATACGCAGCATCTCCGGAAACATTTATTGCCAGGTGGAGGGTTTTTAAAGAGGAAAGTGCATGCATTATTCCAAACATATTTATGGAAGTCTGCAGCGATGCCTGTCTGCTCTACGTTTGTAGAACGTTAGGGTTATCCATCAGCAGATTTCATATCTGCACTTTTGGGTGAAACTCCTTCACCCCCCCCTTTCCAAGCTCATGAAGAATTAATACAGTTTAATTGCTTCCTCTAAGGAAGGGGTGCTGTATTTATTTTGAAGCAATGGGAAATTTTACAGGAGGAGGAACTCCTTCGGTGGTTTTCTGCTTTCTTTCTGGACCCCTTTGGTGATGCCCATGTGAATAGCCTCTGAGGAAGGGGTGTTGCATTTATTTTCAAGCAATGGGAAATTTTACAGAAGAAGGAACTCCTTTGATGGTTTTCTGCTTTCTTTCTGGACCCCTTCCGTGATGCCCATGTGAATATTTGAACCCTTACATTGCAACAGACTTAAATGGTTCCCATTATGCTAGGGTGATCAGGCCCTGGATTTTTAAATTTGCATTTTGGATCGCTGTAACCTCGGCATGTTGTTGACCTCTTCCTTTCTGTGAAGCACACTGCTGCCAATCCTCAAGGAGCTCAGTGAATGGCAATGCATTTTGGAAGCGCTGGAAGGACACTCCTTGATTTTGCACTATAATTTGGGATCGCTGTAACCTCGGCATGTTGTTGACCTCTTCCTTTCTGTGAAGCACACTGCTGCCAATCCTCAAGGAGCTCAGTGAATGGCAAGGCATTTTGGAAGTGCTGGAAGGACACTCCTTGATTTTGCACTATACAGCATTGCAACAGACTTAAATGGTTCCCATTATGCTAGGGTGATCAGGCCCTGGATTTTTAAATTTGCATTTGGGATCGCTGTAACCTCGGCATGTTGTTGACCTCTTCCTTTCTGTGAAGCACACTGCTGCCAATCCTCAAGGAGCTCAGTGAATGGCAAGGCATTTTGGAAGTGCTGGAAGGACACTCCTTGATTTTGCACTATACGGGAGCCTTGGGCATATCCCAGGATTAAGAATACTGAAGATTTTCACTGATGACAGCTATTTATTATAACCACAGAATCGCAGAATGATACAGGGTTGGAAGGGATCTCTGGAGATCATCTAGTCCAACCCCCCTGCCAAAGCAGGTCCACCCAGAGCAGGTTGCACAGGAACATGTCCAGGTGGGGTTTGAATGTCTCCAGAGAAGGAGACTCCACCACCTCTCTGGGCAGCCTCTTCCAGGGCTCTGCCACCCTCAAAGTGAAGAAGTTCCTCCTCATGTTTAGGTGGAACTTATGTTCCTGTTTGTGCCCGTTACCTCTTGTCCTGTCCCTGGGCACCACTGAAAAAAGACTGACCCCCGCCAAGACACCCACCCTTTAAGTATTTATAGCTATTGATCAGATTGCCCCTCAGCCTTCTCTTCTCCAGACTAAAAAGCCCCAAGTCCCTCAGCCTCTCCTCCTAAGAGAGATGCTCCAGGCCCCTCAGCATCTTTGTAGCCCTCTGCTGTACCCTCCCCAGCAGTTCCCTGTCCTTCTGGAACTGGGGAGCCCAGAACTGGACCCAGTGCTCCAGTTGGGGCCTCCCCAGGGCAGAGCAGAGGGGCAGGATGACCTCCCTCCACCTGCTGGTCACACTCTTCCTGATGCCCCCCAGGATGCCATTGGCCTTCTTGGCCACCAGGGCACATTGCTGGCTCATGGGCATCCTCTTGTCCACCAAGACTCCCAGGTCGTTTTCCTCAGAGCTGTTCCTCAGCAGGTCACCCCCCAGACAGTACTGATCCATGGGGTTATTCCTCCCCAGGTGCAGCACCCTACACTTGCCCTTATTGAGTTTCATATAAACAGAAACTGTTTATTTTGTATCCTAATGCACGGGACAGTCTTAGATAAGGAAAATGCCCCCATGTGCATTTGGACCATGGGTCTGCCTCTGAGCAGGAGTGAGGAAGTACAGGATCCTCTCTGGAGCTCCCTCAGTCTCGGTCTGGGATTTCTTTATCTGCCTCAAATGCCTTCCCCCTCTTCTTCCTCTTTTATTCTCCTCTAGTCTTGTGTGAAGAGCAGCATGGGGGCTTTGTTTTTGTCTCCTTTAAGGACTATTTGGCAGCCCCTGTGAATAGTGTGAAAAACCAGTGTGGTATCTGGCTGTTCCTGCCTGCTCACGTGTTGGGATTTTTCTATAGTATCCCCTGCTATAGCATCAAAATGCTAATTGTAGCCATCTTTATTGGCTGTTTTCTGGCTTGTTTCTTTTAATCCTTGCTTTTGTGAGCTGGAGTTACTGGCTCCCTTCCATTCGCCTCGGCCTCTTCCCCTGCAAGTGGCAGTTTTGTGAAGGCATAATTACATTTCATTCCCCTTTTTCCTAAATATTGTACCAGATATCCTTGGGGTGTAACGTCTGTGGAAGTGTTTCTGCCTCCCCGCCGTGCTGAGTGGTCTTCTTGATTTGAAGGCTTGTCTGAGGGCCAGGTGCTCTCATGAAATGCTGGTAGTGTGAGGAATATAAGAATTGAAACGTGTTGTACCCTCCTGTTTTCTGCATATATCCATGCAGAGTAGGCATCCTAGAGCAGGCAAAAACCTCCTACCTGAAGGACCACCACAGACAAATCCATCCCTGTTGCCCTTCAGCTATGACTGGGGATAAAGCTGAATCCAGTTCACTTATTTTCAGCCTTTTGTCTAAACACTGGTGCTTCTTTCTGCCAGGTCTTGCTGTGACAGAAAGAAATAGAATTATCACATCAAAGGACTAAGTTTAGGCTGGGTTATTTACCTCCTCCATGCGTGGCCACACTCTGGTAGATTTCTAGCAGCAGAAATTTGCACGAGAGCGGAAAACACCACCAAAAAGCTTCCAATCAAAAATAAAATTAATAAGAATCCGTTTAAAAGTAAAAAAAAAATTGACATACCAGTCCATACTAGAGTAAGTGGATCTCTTCCTTGTTACCAAGAAGCTGTAGATGGAGATGGCTGTCCAACTGTGACATAAAGGTCCAGTGTGAAAATACAATCATAGAATACTTCGGGTTGGAAAGGACCATAAAGATCATCGAGTTCCAACCCCCTGCCCTGGGCAGGGACACCTCCCACCAGACCACGTTGCTCAAACCCCCATCCAGCCTGGTCTTGAACCCCTCCAGGGATGGGGCAGCCACAGCTTCTCTGGGCAACCTGTTCCAGTGTCTCACCGCCCTCTCAGTAAAGAATTAATTCCTGATATCTCATCTAAATCTCCCCTCTTTCAGTTTAAAACCATTCCCCCTTGTCCTATGGCTCCACTCCCTGATCAAGAGTCCCTCCCCATCTCTCCTGGAGCCCCTTGAGGGACTGGAAGGGGCTCTGAGGTCTCCCTGGAGCCTTCTCTTCTCCAGGCTGAACCCCCCCAACTCTCTCAGCCTGTCCTCACAGCAGAGGGCCTCCAGCCCCCCAATCATCTTTGTGGCCCTCCGCTGGACTTGTTCCAACAGGTCCATGTCCTTTCTCTGCTGATATAGTAATTCCTCTTGTCCTTCTTGGCATTACGTGTCCTCCAGCAAGTCTGGAAATGGACTTGGCTGCAGGGACTCGCAGAGTTTCTACATGGCTGAGCAACCCTTGATAACAGAGTGTTTTCCTGCTTCATGTGGACGTGGGACTAAAATAATCGACGCTGGTACTGGCAGGTTTCTCAGGGACTCCTGTAATGATGCTTTATTTGGTCTTTCTTCACTGCAGGTTGCAATCAAACAGATGAATTTGCAGCAGCAGCCCAAAAAAGAACTGATTATTAATGAAATCCTTGTGATGAGGGAAAACAAGAACCCCAACATCGTCAACTACTTGGACAGGTATGTCATGACTTGAAAAGTTCACGAAGGGACTCAGTAAAACATTTCCTTGTCACTGTCTTAAGTCATCCTGACGCAGCTTAAAGCAGGTCTAGGACAACCCTGCACTGTTTAATGCATGTGGCAATGTTGGGGTGGGGTGGCTTGTTGGTCTCCCTCCATGTCCTAGGAGAAACATGTGTCTGAATGGGTATTAGTGGAGCATCTCCATTGTCTTTAGAGATGCTGGCAGCAAAGGCAGCAGCAGTTTGCTTTCAGGACTCCGTTTTTCAGCTCTCTCCTTTGCCAAATTTGACACAGCAAGCCATTTCCTTCCTGCTACTAGCGAAGAAATAGAACTAATTTGAACTGTGTTATTTTTATTTTCTTTCGTCTTCTTTCCTCTTCTACTGAGCAACGCTGACATTCGACTTACAGAGGAGCAGACTCCTTCCAGGGTTAGACAGTAATCTTGTCCCTGGGTCTGTCCACTGAGGTTTTCTGCGCAGTAGCATTAGAATGAAAAAGGTGAATGACATAGAATCATAGAATCATTTTGGTTGGAAGGGATCTTTAAGATCATCGAGTCCTACCATCAGCCTAACACTGACAAAACCCATGTCCCTCAGCACCACGTCTGCCTGGCTTTTAAATCCCTCCAGGGATGGTGACTCCACCACTGCCCTGGGCAGCCTGTTCCAATGTTTGATAACCCTTTCAGGGAAGCCATTTTTCCTAATAACCATCCTAAACCTCCCCTGGTGCAACTTGAGGCCATTTCCTCTTGTCCCATCACCTGTTCCTTGGGAGAAGAGACCGACCCCCCCTGGCTACACCTTCCTTTCAGGGAGTTGTAGAGAGCGAGAAGGTCTCCCCTCAGCCTCCTTTTCTCCAGGCTCAACACCCCCAGCTCCCTCAGCCTCTCCTCACAAGACTTGTGCTCCAGACCCCTCACTTAGGTGTGACCTAGAATCTCTTTTGGAAATCTGAGAGACTGTTTGCACACTTGTTTGCTTTGCCTGTACGTCAAAATCTTATCAGCTGTTTCTTGAACAGATTTCTTTAGCGGGCTTTTAATATCTTAGCCAAAAAAAGCACTTCTTGTATACTGCAGCATCAGTTGCGACGCTGAATTTATATGATGCTGTGTCAAGAGCTACTTTGTTGAAGGGAGAGAAAGTTTGCTGCTGGAATTCTGTGGAAGGGATGTGGGTGCAGGGAAGTGATGCTGGGCGGATGCCCTCTTCTCCCAAAGAGCAGAAGGCTCTTACCTGTGTAAGATGAAACAAGTGGTAACGAAGAGTTAATAATTGCATCTGTGCTGAAATTGGTTGGTTTTTTTTTCCTCCTGGCTGATTAGAGGCTTTGTTTTGGCAAAACCCTTTGAGAAGCACATTCTTCCCATTGAAGGGAGCATCTCTGAGTACACGCTCTCACCTTTTCTACCCAGTATGTCCCAGCTGCACATCCTGCTGTCTTGTCCAGACTTCCACCAACAAAAAAGCTGCTTGCTTTTGTCCTCCACTTTCTCTCACTAGCCTTTTTCAGAGGGATTAGCTTTTCTTTGAGTGCTGCAAATGGACGGAGCGGCAGCGAGGATGAACATGGGGGGTTCTTGTGCCTATTGTGCCACTTCCAGCTTGCTCTCACCTTGTCTACCCAGTATGTCCCAGCTGCACGTCCTGCTGTCTTGTCCAGACTTCCAGCAACAAAAAAGCTGCTTGCTTTTGTCCTCCACTTTCTCTCACTAGTCTTTTTCAGAGGGATTAGCTTTTCTTTGAGTGCTGCAAATGGACGGAGCGGCAGCGAGGATGAACATGGGGGGTTCTTGTGCCTATTGTGCCACTTCCAGCTTTGCAACTGCAGGAGTTGTGTTGGGGGAGCTGGGGAGCTGTGTCCCTCCTGCCTGGCCTGATGGACCCATTTCCTTCCTGAGCCCTGAACGGAGCTGATATTTGAACACCTCTTGCTGGCATCAGCCAACTGCAGGTGCAGAAGGAAGTATGAGGAGGGATTTGTGTGCTGCTGTGGCACCTCAATTATTTTTTTCTGTTCTGTTTTTGACGGTGTTTCCCCTCCCGAGTCCCTGATGGGAGCTGCAAGGTTGTCATTGGTATAAACCAATGCTTCTCTTCGCCTCAGCTCCTGCCCTTATGCAAGGGCTTCCTCTGCTTTATTCTCTCTTACCTGCACAACCTACTTAGAATCACAGAATGGTTTGGGTTGGGACCTACTTAGAATCACAGAATCAGAGAACAGTTTGGGTTGGAAGGGACCTTAAAGATCATCCAGTTCCAACCCCCTGCCATGGGCAGGGACACCTCCCACCAGACCAGGTTGCTCAAAGCCTCATCCAGCCTGGCCTTGAACCCCTCCAGGGATGGGGCAGCCACAACTTCTCTGGGCAACCTGGTCCAGGGTCTCACCACCCTCACAGCAAAGAATTTACTTGCTTATGGTTAAGAGGTCTGGCTGGTTTACTTTCCCCCCCAAAACAAACATCACCATGCAAAGAGTGCATTGATGCCTCAGACAGCTTTTCTGCTTCACCCCAAGTGACCAGTGTTGCATGAAGGTGTGCTGTGACACTTAAGATAATGACATGGCCTAATTCAGCTGTATTTAGGAGCTGAATTTAGAAACATCCAGCTCTGAAGACAGTGACGCTACTTTCCCAGTGCAGACAAGCAGCCCCTTGTGCTGAGTTACCTTCTGGAGGTGCCAGACTCTTTCTACTGCATGAAAGAACAGGTTGGCCCAGGTTGCCCAGAGAAGTTGTGGCTGCCCCATCCCTGGAGGTGTTCAAGGCCAGGTTGGAGGGGGCTTTGAGGAACCTGGTCTAGTGGGAGGTGTCCCTGCCCAAGGCAGAGGGATTGGAACCTGATGATCTTTAAGGTCTCTTCCAAGCCGAACCATTGTATGATTCTAAAGAAGACCTCAGAGCTCTGCTTGTAAACTCCAGCATCTAACACGGGCAAGAGATGCCCAGTATTAGGCAAAAATCTCCCACCCTTTGGTTTCTTTCTTTCTGAAGAACTCTCCTTAACCATAATATGACCCACAAATCCTCACTTTAAGCAGTAGCCACTGTTGCCCTCACCCCAACCCCAAGCTCAACTGGGGCTGGAAGGTCAGTGAATAAAGCTGAAGATGTCTGACAGTCATGCTACAAGAAATCACTGATTTCTTTCTGGGCTAACATCAAGTTTGCCTGTTACTGGTACAGAAATCTCTAAAGAATGATTTTGCTCTTCTGAGCAAACCCAAATTTTATAGAGTTTATCAATCAAATAGGACTATGACTGATTGATGTGTGTTTGTGATAGGAAGGGCTTGGTAGACACCTTCCTAAGGTATCTAAGTGGAAGCTGAGGAACACCTTACAGGAGCAGACATTACCTCAGGTGTTGGCAGTGTGTCCTTTTGGGGTCAAAGTGTGCCTCCCACCCACTCCTGTGATGTCTCACTCATCTCTGTCTGCTTTTGCAGAATCACAGAGTGGTCCCTTCCAACTCTTTCCAAGGGACTTGCTCTTCCAAGAGACCATCTTTCCATGCCAAGTTGGGCTTAAGTTCTTTCTCCTTCACCGTTACTTTCTAGCTACTTGTTCCCTAGAACCTGTCCTGGTTCTTTGGCTCTTAGCAAATTCACTCTTCATTAGGATCCGTGTTTCAAAGCAAAGAAAACATCTGCTTGATGAACTCTAATGCCTACAGAAGCTTTTAATTAGATTCTCTGCCTTCCCTCTTGACTCATCTGTCCGCTTCCTTTAAAAATGGGAGGATAGGCCGAGAAGGTGGGTTTTCAAGCCGATGATTCCTTCCTTCAGGAATGTGTCATCCTGATGTATCTGTCATGGAAGATTGTGTTGATGTTTTTCCAGATGGGCCCAAAAAAGGCAGAAGTGGTTGGTGGTTTGGGTTTGTTGTTTGTTTTTTTTTAAAAACTGAAGTTTTAAAAACTGAAGTAAAAAATGCTGAAGTTTTCATTTCAGGTCTTCTACTTTTAGATGTGAGCACACAACTTCCCAGCAGAGAAGAATATCCCAAATGGCTCAGAGAACTTGCCCTCATCTCAGCTGTCTCCTCCCCATCTTCCTAAGGGCCTTTCTGGATGAGACTTGCCCCTTTTGGGCCTTCCTTTTTTTTTTTTTTTATATTAAGTCTTTAGAGTTGCTTTTGTATCTAGCAAGATGTTCTCATTTGCCCTTACAAATGGCTCTGAATTTTTCAGCCCAAAACCCAAACTAATTTTGTTGCATAAAAAAGATGGAGGTGATTTTCAAATGCAGGAGGCCTTAAAGCAAAGTGTTCTTTCTCAGTGGTTTGAGGGCATCCATTGTGTCACCCAGGATTGTCCCTGGGCCTCGGCAAAGTAGCTGGTTGCTTAGGACAGCAGGATGACAGTGGTGATGAAGAGCCCTCAAAAGCCATGCCATGTGCCAAATGTCCGGGCTGCATGACAGATATTGGACCTCATCCTTGACCAGTAGCTCTTCCCCTTCTCTCCCAGAGGCAGCTGGAGTTCTAAAGTTGGGTCTTCATCTTAGTCTGGGCCGTTTCCGTGGCAGGAAAAATTCAGCCTTGCTTTTACAGCTAGGAAACTTGTAGCCTGCTCTTCTATTATCTCAACTTTCTGCACTCACCATTCCCTCTGCTCGTTCAGGTTGTGATCCCAGAAAGTTCCACGTCTACCTGGTGCCCCAGCGCTGTTAAAAACGCTGCTGAAGCCTCATGGTTTCTCTGCACCTTCTAAGACGACTTTAAACCCCAGTGCATTCTGGCCGGGTAAACAGTGACATGTTCGTAATTCCTGATTTTAAAAATTTGGTTTTGGCTCTTCAGTTACCTTGTAGGAGAAGAGCTCTGGGTGGTCATGGAGTACTTGGCAGGAGGCTCCCTGACAGACGTTGTGACAGAGACCTGCATGGACGAGGGACAAATCGCGGCTGTGTGCCGAGAGGTAAAGCGGCCCTGGCACCGGGAGGGAGCTGTGACTGGGACGGGGTCATGGGCTCCACCAGAAGTGCTACAGAAGCCAGAGACAGCTCAACAATTGCTCTTTCAGAGGCCAGATTTCATCTGGGAGGTTACAGCATACAGTCCGAATGCCAGCCTAATATAATTCACCCTAGAGGGAGGACAGGAATGCAAAATGGGGTTGAAATCCCCCTGGTTATGCCCGTTCTCCAGGTCTTTTGGAGCTAACTTGTCCTCTAGGACCTGCAGATCCCGGTGGGATATCCTTCTGTAGCCCTGCACATGCTGATTATGTGAAAGACTCTAAGACACTAAGCTCTTGCTACTCAAAATGCACGTTGTTAGAGCCCATTAGTTGGCTAATTGTGGCTAGTGAATGATTTCATGCACAGTAAGAATATCTCAATTATTTTCTTTTTTTTTTTTTTTTTTCTAGTGTCTCCAAGCTCTGGAATTCCTCCATTCAAACCAAGTTATTCACAGAGACATCAAGAGTGACAACATCCTGCTGGGAATGGATGGCTCTGTCAAACTAAGTATGTGGGGAACAGGGCTGGGGATGACTGGAATTATCAACCCAGGCCCGTTAATCTGCTCTGGATCAGGCCTGGTGGGGAGACTGGTGGTTGAGATAAGCTCTGGAATTCCTCCATTCAAACCAAGTTATTCACAGAGACATCAAGAGTGACAACATCCTGCTGGGAATGGATGGCTCTGTCAAACTAAGTATGTGGGGAACAGGGCTGGGGATGACTGGAATTATCAACCCAGGCCCGTTAATCTGCTCTGGATCAGGCCTGGTGGGGAGACTGGTGGTTGAGATGCTTGATGCTGTGGTGATGAAGAGGCTGTAGAAACGCTCCTGTAGGTATTTTTGTGGCATTAGTTTTAATGGAGAATCACAAGGATGAATCCTTGTGAAGTGGTACCAGACTCCGAATGAGGTTTGGGGTTCATTTAGCTTCGGGCCATCTGTTTTTGTGGACTAAAATATCAGTATTTTAATGTTGCTCCAGTCTACAAAGGTGTGTTAGAAGGTGTGGGGCCAGAAGTCTTTGTTTGTGAGCTGTCTCTTCCGTCTGGAAAATACTGCAGGTACTTGTGGGGCAGGAGGAGTGGAGGGAGAATTGGCAACGGTGTAAACTAGAAAACATTTAATCTTACACCGACCCAGACTGGACTCTAAATATTGTTTCCTGCTTGCGTTATCACCAGTAATGGAGACCTTGAGACTGTCCTGCCCCTCGGGTGCTGAGGTAGCTGTTGTGCCTGTCGTTGCCCGTGCAGAGATAAGTCTGGAAACCAGCGAATAATTATCTTCCACCTATAGCTTTAACAAAATTGTGCTCCCTTTCTCTTCCTCTCAGTTCTCTTGGCTGGCACCCAACAGGCATAAATAAGTCTATTTTTGTCGGTGGTGACAGCAGATATGACTCAAAATTCACACAGTGCAGATATGCTGAGTAAGAAGGTGGGGTTTTTTTTTCTTTTTCTTTTTTTTTTTTTTTCACATAATTGCTTTTCAGACTAAAGCTGTACTTTGGTACAGTCAGATCCCTGGAGTGTTGGTGATGAATAGCTCATTGGGGCCAAAGTGCTCTGTTCTTCTGGAATAACTTCTTTGAGCACAGCGTGCAGGTACCGGGCTGGAGTTTAAAGTTGGAAAAATCCCCGTGGATATGATGCGGTGACCTTCTGGACTTGAGCTGCTTGTTGGCTCTGCTGGAAGTCTGCTCTGTTTATGAACCATATGTACCTTTCCTGGTTGTTAGCCTTGACGAAAGCTCAGCTAGGGCTCGGTTTGATTTTCATCATTCTGCCTAAAATTAAACCCTGCGGTGCCGCAGGGGGTCAGGATGGGCAGAGCATCTCGCTGTGTTGGTTCTGCTGGACTCACAAGAACAGAATTAGGGTTTTTTTTTAATAAGTCAAATACAAATAAGACCTAGGACCCAGCAATCTTTGTGTGAAGGCTCTCCATCTTTCTGTCTATTCGAAGAAAATAATCAGTGTGGATTTAGATACTTTAAATTTATTCTGAACGCTGTTTGCTCCGTGAAGCAAATCCTGTTTGAGGGATGATATATCCACTGGGCAAGTAACATCTCTGTAATAAGTAATATCAACATATATAGTATGTTGGTTGTGGGGGGTGTTTCTAGATCAGACTGTGCATTGATTTCTATTTTCACATACCCAGGGACAGTCTTTAGACCATATATTACATAGTGTATTACAGCTGCACAGTGCTGCAAAACCCCTATACGGTTATTTACTGATCTCCATCCTTCACATCAAGGAGTCAGCACCTCTGTAGTCCTCAGTGAGGCAGGATCTAGAATCTAGTAAATCTAGAAATTTACTAGTTTGGGCTGGAATCTAGATTAGCCACAAACCCCCACCTCCTTTCACAGGTGCAACCAGATGTTGGGGCAGGGTAACTTGTACCGCATCACTGGCATCAGTAAGCATTGATTTTGGAGAAACTTGCTGATTTCTTTCTGTTGTCCTCAGTGAGGCAGGATCTAGAATCTAGTAAATCTAGAAATTTACTTCTCAACAGCATCTTCTAGATTAGCCACAAACCCCCACCTCCTATCCTCAGTGAGGCAGATCTAGAAATTTACTTCTCAACAGCATCTTCTAGATTAGCCACAAACCCCCACCTCCTTTCACAGGTGCAACCAGACGTTGGGGCAGGGTAACTTGTACTGCACCCGTGGCATCAGTGAGCATTGATTTTGGAGAAACTTGCTGATTTCTTTCTGTTTCTTCCCTTCCCTCTTTAATTTTCCAGCTGACTTCGGCTTCTGTGCCCAGATCACTCCTGAGCAGAGCAAACGCAGTACCATGGTGGGGACCCCCTACTGGATGGCACCCGAAGTGGTGACACGCAAAGCCTATGGGCCCAAAGTGGATATCTGGTCGCTGGGGATAATGGCCATTGAGATGATCGAAGGAGAGCCTCCCTACCTCAACGAGAACCCTCTGAGAGTAAGTGACCATCTTTTGCCTTCAGGTCTTAGAATCATAGAATAGTTTGGGCTGGAAGGGACCTTAAAGATCATCCAGTTCCAACCCCCTGCCCTGGGCAGGGACACCTCCCACCAGACCAGGTTGCTCAAAGCCCCATCCAGCCTGGCCTTGAAGCCCTCCAGGGATGGGGCAGCCACCTGGGCAACCTGGTCCAGGGTGTCATCACCCTCAGAGTGAAAAATTTCTTCCTGAGATCTCATATAAATCTAATGTCTTTTAGTTTAAAACCATTATTCCTCATCCTGTTGCGAGATCTTATCTAAATCTAATGTCTTTCAGTTTAAAACCATTACTCCTCATCCTGTTGCTCCACTCCCTGATCAAGAGTCCCTCCCCAGCTTTCCTTAAGCCCATACCTTAAGGTCTCCCTGGAGTCTTCTCTTCTCCAGGCTGAACCCCCCCAACAGTCTTTAGACAGGGCTCCTGATGTCTCTCCCTCGTTTGGTTTTTAATGGAAGGGGAGATGCTGTCACTTCGTAACTGCACTTAATATAAGCCAGGTTTATGGCTTCTCAATCTAGAAAAATACTGTTTATTCTTCTGTCTCCATCTTTTGCACTGGAAGTGGTTTTTGGGAGAGAAGAGCAGCAGCAAAGAAGAGGGGAAGGAAAGAAAGTGGGTGTTGAGTTAAAAGAGGGTCATTAAGTAACAGTACTTCGGCCTCATTTAACTCAACTTGTGCCAATTCCCAGGCTGTCAGACTGCTCCCATGGGATGTGCTGAGCGATGTGCTCAAAGGACCTGCATATTAACAGGTCTCTGACAGATTTCCGTTTCCTTTGAAAATCCACCCTGGAAGTTTCTTGCATGAAATCCTGAAATGGATGGATTCTGAGCCCTTTGATTCTCAGAGGGCTTGTAAATGCTTCATCCCCAAGCAGAAGCAGAAACTGCTTATTTCTGCAGGAGGTTAAAGGCTGCTTGAGGGTCTCCTGGCCATCTTTTATAAGAAGCCAACTGCATCTTTATCGTCCTGACTTTTTAGGCCTTGTGAGCTCAGGCAAAGTACCCACAGAACAAAAATCTCCCATTTATTCAGGGGTACCTTCCCATGAGGATACAGTTATTGCAGCGTAGAGTCGTGCCAGTTAACTTCCCTGGGTAAACACCGTCTGGAATGTTGGGTTTTGTCCTCCTAATCCCTTGAGAGAGCTGCAGGATCCAAACCCAGATTAGGAGGGTAAAACAATAAAGGATTGGATCCCATCCACATAAAAATAGGGTTGGCAGCCTTTCTGTTGGCTGAAACTTAAGCATTGATTAGTCACCCTGATAAGGTGGGGTTTTTTTTCCTCTCCATTGAACTGGGGGGAGGGAGGGAAGAAATGGGTGTCTCTATAAATCCAGAGATGGAATCTAACCTTCATAACTCCCTGTTTCTTTGGTGCTTGTTGTTGCTTTAGGCCCTGTATCTCATTGCTACTAACGGGACTCCAGAACTGCAGAATCCAGAAAAGCTTTCAGTCATATTCCGAGACTTCTTAAACCGCTGTCTGGAAATGGACGTGGAAAAGAGAGGTTCGGCGAAAGAGCTGCTGCAGGTAGGTGATGGGGAAGAGGGATGGAACGGGGTGATGGGGAAGAGGAATGGAAGGGGGCGATGGGGAGGAGGAATGGAACAGGGTGATGGGGAATCAACATAATCATGCAATGCCCAGCAAGGCCAGGGTCATAGAATCATAGAATGGTTTGGATTGGAAGGGACCTTAAAGATCATTGAGTCCTACCCCTTGCCATGGGCAGGGACACCTCCCAGTCATGGAACGATCTTGTTTGGGGTCTTAAATACTACACCAGCTGAAGGCACAAACACAGCTAAGGTAACCTGCCAGGAAAAAAACAACCAGAAACAACCCCCAAAACCTGAATCTATAATAAAACGTTAACAGACTACACCCTGTTTATGCTGTCCTTGCTACTAGCAGCAGCTGTGCAGCGTGTTCTGTGACCAGTGTTATGTGCCGCTAGCAGCCCAGAAAGAGAACCACATCCTGGGCTGCATCCCCAGCAGTGTGGCCAGCAGGGCTGGGGGGGGATTCTGCCCCTCTGCTCCGCTCTGGGGAGACCCCAGCTGGAGCACTGCCTCCAGCTTTGGAGTCCTCAGCACAGGAAGGACGTGGACCTGTTGGAGCGGGGCCAGAGGAGGCCACAGAGATGCTGGGAGGGCTGGAGCCCCTCTGCTGGGAGGACAGGCTGAGAGTTGGGGGGGTTCAGCCTGCAGAAGAGAAGGCTCCGAGGAGACCTTAGAGCCCCTTCCAGTCCCTCAAGGGCCTCCAGGAGAGATGGGGAGGGACTCTTGATCAGGGAGTGGAGGGATAGGATGAGGGGGCATGGTTTTAATCTGAAAGAGGGGAGATTTAGATTAGATCTTAAGAAGAAATTTTTTCCTGTGAGGGTGGTGAGACCCTGGACCAGGTTGCCCAGAGAAGCTGTGGCTGCCCCATCCCTGGAGGTGTTCAAGGCCAGGTTGGATGGGGCTTTGAGCAACCTGGTCTGGTGGGACATGTCCCCGCCCATGGTAGCAGCCTTGGAACTGGATGATCTTTAAGGTCCCTTCCAACCCAAACCATTCTGTGATTCTAATTGCTGTGCCCCAGGCCTGCCAAATGCTGAGCCCCTTAGTTCCCATGGCTTCTTCACGCAGCTGACCCTGATACCTGGATGTGTTGTCATGGTCTCACCATGCTTGTTCCCATTTGGACAGCAGGAGGGATTCTAGCTATTGGATGCTCTTTTTGTCTCCCTTCTGGTGGAGGGGTCACAAAGCTCTTTGGAATATGCATGGCTTGTGTTAACCGGAGCAGTGTGGTGTTACAACACTTTGCCAGATAATACACCTTACCAGACGTGATGGAACAAAGCTTGTGAGATAACTTAATCATCAAATGGTCTGGGTTGTAAGGGACCTTTAAAGATCCAACCCCCCTGGCATGGGCAGGAACACCTCCCACTAGACCAGGTTGCTCAAAACCCCATCCAACCTGACCTTGACCACTTCTAATGATGGAGCATCCACAACTACTCTGGGCAACCCGTACCAGTATCCATCAACCTATCAACAGTTACTTCACTGAAAACCTGGTGTCTTAGTCTGAACTCAGGGTGAAAGGGGAGGG